TTCAGGAATAAAGCGCGGTATCTTCAGGTGTTTCTCTACAGTGGGCTCTGCAGCAGGTGTTTTCCTAGACTCTGCGTGTCCTACAGCGCGCTGAAACTGACACACAGCAGGCAGGAAGTGCCCCGGGATGGTAGGAAATAACAGAGAAACCGGGCTGTCAGTCTCCTGATGTCTCCAGGCTGGCTACAGGGCCTGGATATTTAACTTTGTTGTGAAACAGATTTTTGTGAGGACAATTTGACCTCCCTCCTAGGGTCAGCAGAAGCCCCCCCCATACAGGCCTGCAGCCCCCGTGGGCAGGAACCTACGCCAGCCTGTCTTTGCTCTCCTCCGGGCTCAGCTGGTCAAACGTCTTGGCCTCCTCCTTTCCCAGAAAAGCTTCGTGGTCGTACTGGTAGCCGTGGGCGTCGTCGTGGACGTGGTCACTCAGGTCAGCCTGGTGGTGGACGCGCTTCTCCTGAGCGGGGACAGCCACGGCGGCAGCCGCCAGCAGGCACACGCACACGCAGCAGGCCCGCAGCTCCATGACTGGACTCTGGAGTGTGGACGTGCACCAACAAGAGTCCAGATGAAGAGCAGCAGCCAGAAAGGAGGACCCACAACACAACACAGCACAACACAACACAGCACAGCACAACACAACACAACACAACACAGCACAGCACAACACAACACAACACAACACAACACAAAACAACACAGCACAACACAACACAGCACAGCACAACACAACACAGCACAGCACAGCACTGGCCTGTGGCTTTGCATGCTTTGAGTGGAGGATGTTGCTTAAACTGAAGCACCAAAAACTTTTGTCTTGTACAGACACAATACGGTTTCCTAATGTCCATTTATCCATGCCCCCCCCCCAGGGCACGCGGCCTGAGCCCCGCGGACAGAAGAGGATGCACTCACCTCTCAGCAGTCTTCCAGCTCAGGGTTCCAGCTCAGGGTTCCAGCTCAGGGTTCCAGCTCAGGGTTCCAGCTCAGGGTTCCAGCTCAGGGTTCCAGCTCAGGGTTCCAGCTCAGGGCTCCAGCTCTGGGGGCCGCGTTGGCAGTCTGGGCTTTAACCCGGGGGGGCGGGCCCTGACTCCGGCTGGCCAATCGCTGGCAGCCCTCGCGTGCCTCCGACCAATACAAAGTGGAGAAAAAGTGGCCCAGCACTTCTTGCCGCATTCTGATTGGCTGTTAACCGCCACGTCGCCGCGCGAACGCGCTCCGCTCGGGAGCGATCCCAGCTCCCGTCCCCCGCCCTAACCCTAACCCTAACCCCCCCCCCATTAGCAGAACAACTCCTCTAAAATGATGGAAGCTGATCAGTCAGCTGGAATGAAAACTGAGTTGAAAGCTGGGAAAACTAGAGATGCTGTTCAAGAGCTGACCTCAGATGTAGAAAAAAGCATAACCTCATCTGAAACGGAATAATAAGCAAATAAACACAATAGAAATGAAAACTACTGTTACTCAAAACATCTTTTATTTGTTTCAGGACACCTACCATGTTTTAGAGACATCCCAGGTCATTACAGCCAGAATCATTTGATCACAAGAGCAAGTAGTTCATATGTTTTTCCTCAAAGGATGCGGCTGCAGATCCTCTATGTTCTACTGAGCCACAGACACACAGACACAGCCCCCCCAGCCCCCCCCCACACTGATCCAGTTTAATTAACAGTAGATATTACATGGTTACATGGAGTTAACAGCTAGAGAAACAATGAAATGACACCATTTCTGGACAGGTTCACATTCCTAAACCTCCCTGGAAACTCCATAGACATTCCCGGACAGCTGATGGGCTGATGACCAGGTCAGACCCTTTGGAGGACCTGAGCCGTTTCAGTCGGTGGGGGCCTCTGTGCTGTCACCAAAGGGACTCTGAGCCACTGCTTTCAGCCACGTGTGGACCTGTTGCTCCTCACATCAGGCGTTTGCAGTGGACACAACTGGTTTATTCAATCTGAAGAGAAGGGGTGAAATGTCCAATAGCAGCTCAAATCTCAAGTCATTTAGGAGGGAAAGACAAGAAACCGAAAACATGCTGCAACCGAACCAGGAGGGAAGGTCCGGCTGGTCTCCTGTTTCAGGGTCAGGGTTTTACATGATGTACAGCTCGTAGAAATGGGGGGTTTGGAACCCAAACCAGCAAAAGATCAGAGTCAGCCGCCCCTGGATTGTGAAAGCTCGTCCACACGAGGCCAGCGCCTCCATCCCACCCCCCTCCGCTCCCTGATTCCAGCTGGGTGTGGAACGTGAAGATCAGCACACTGAAGTAACATGCAGGCACTAAATCATCTATGACATTTTCATGGTCCAGTTAAGATTCACATTTTTCTGGGACACAACATTTCAAGCTGATAACTGATTCTCATGAAGAGCAACACAGATCGTTACACACAAAGCTGTAGTTGAGGTTATAAATGACATGCAGTCAGAAGCTTAGCTTTATTAGGTTTTACATAACAGACCACTACCACCCAGCCACCAGAACCCGCTGAGTCAACACTTTGTTCAGAAGAAGTTGGGACGGTCAGGGTCTTATTTACATGCAACTTGCCCACTGACACCTGTTCTGGGGTCACTCCTCATTTGGAATCTGAGACATCACAGATACATGCAGACATAGTCTGGTGTCGTGTGCATCGATGGGACTTTTGTCAGGCGGAGGAGATCAGAACATCAGCCTTGTGTGCCAGGAGCAGAGACCCGACCGGAGCCCACCACTAACAGACACTTCACACGTTGTTTTACACCAAACGAACAGAAGCACATGTCAAACCAATAATGTCTCCAAAGAAAAGCCCACAATCAAACTAAGGAATGAGGGGACACTTTAGCCTGGTTAGAAAGTGCTACAAACACTGCTCATGTGCAGCCTGATGAGGGGGCGGGGCCGGTCCAGCCTCTGCTGGGACAACTGTGGGGGTGCCAGATTAGCTGACTTCATTCTTACCGTCTGATCAGTAAGTCTAACTCTGCAGAAAAACATTCATCTGGTTCTTTTCCACAGAGCTATTTTAGAGAAACATCAACATTCTTCTAAAGTGAGAACGTGGTCTACTGGGAACAACCTTCTGACTGCACAAGAAACAGGAAGTCCTCATTAATGGCTACGGAGGTGGGCCCGATTTTCAACAGGAACTCTGTGGGATTTACTAACATTTACATTGTGCTTATCACAACAGATGGGGAATCACCTCCCTCCAGTCTTAATTAAGTACGGTTTGTGTGTTTTCAGCGAGGTTCCTTCAGAATCAGGATCTATTTGTACTGGGCCAGCACATCGTTGAAGAGGTTGAGGAACATGTGGACGTGGTACTCCTTGAACACCAGAGCTGGACGGAAGCGGACCGACCGGTCGCCGCATCCCCCCAGGAGCACACCTGTGGAGGACAAGCAGGGTCAGCGTGCATTCCAGCGGCCCGCTGGGGGTCCTGTCCCCCCCCAGGGCTGCCCAAAGACGGGGTCTCACAGCACAGTCCCAGCAGGACAACTCCTGTCTGATTACGGTCAGAGGAGAAAGCCAGAGCACGGGCTGGCTGAGCTGAAGCCCCCCAGCAGTCTCCCAGCAGCCCCCCAATAGCCCCC